CCCTAGGTCCTGTGCTGTGGAGGGCCCAGCTCTGACCCTCCCTCCAGGGCAAGGAACCCATACAGTTCAGGGGTTCAGGGTCCTTGGAGCCCACAACACCCTCTTCTGGACCTGATTCCAGAGTCCCCTGCTTAAATTTCCTAAGCCCACTTCTTGGGCCTCTTTCCTGGCCAGTCTTCTTGAAAGCAGCCCAAGATGTTGGGGGGGGAGGGGAGTCCATGGCCCAAAGGGTGGCCCTGGGGTCTGTGGGTAACGACAAGGGTGTGACCCTTGAGGTTCAGGCTGAGAGTCTCACGTGAAGAAAGGGGCCAGGTGGGTAGAGAAAGAGGGGTGGGCTGCATGCAGGGCGTGGGAAGGCGTTCCACTTGTACTCTTGCAGCAGGCCTCCAACACCCTCACCCCACAAACCTCCCATCTGATATCACCACATGAATTAAAGCCAATGAGTCAAAGCCAATGAGAACTAGCTGGGTGCTGTGTCTCACACATGTAATCCTGGCTAGCTGGGAGGCTGAGATCAGGAGGATCAAGGTTAAAGGCCAGCCTGGGCAAATAGCTTGAGAGACCTCCATCTCCAAAATGGACTGGAGATGTGACTCAAGCAGTAGAGTGCCTGCTTTGTAAGCACAAAGCCCTGAATTCAAACCCCAGTCCCCGCCCCCCCTCCCCCCAAAGCCAACAAAAACTTCCTTGCCTGGCTTGCATCCCAGCCCAAAGGAGGCTGGATGTGAGTTTAGAGATGAACTCCTGCAGCAGGTGGGGGCTGGCTGGGAGGGCTGAAGCTGATCCAGCTGTTTTTTTGAGCTTCCAGGCAGCAGAGGGTTAGAGGGAAGGTTCCAGAGCAGGTGGGGCCTCCCCTAGAGCCCAGGGATACCTCCCTTGGCAGAGCCAGGCCTGTCTGACTCAGAGGGTGGGGTGACCAGGGAGCTCTCACAGCCCAGGGCACCCTTGGGGACCTGTCCAGCCAGTTTTCCCATGTTTGCCACATGGGCATTTAAGTTTTAATTCTTCACATGCATCACCCTGGGGAGGGTTGATTCAGATGGGGGAGAGCGAGAGGGAGTCCAGAGAAGTCTAACTTTACTGCCAGCTTGAGAGCTGTGGCTTGAGCTCTGGGCCTGGCTTGCCCTTGGAAGTAGGGAAAAAGGATCTTTCCTTCCCTGGCCCAGGCCCAAAGTGCACAGGACCAGCCTAGAAGGAAAGCCTGTCTTCCGTCTCCCTCCTCTTGAGCTGCGTGGCCTGGGCAAACCCCCTCCTCCCTGGGGCCTCATCTTGATGACTACAGAATCTGCCCAGCTCTAAAACGTGGTTCTAAACCAGCACCTTAAAGTCAACTCCCACCAACTAACACAAAGGTGGGTAGCCCTTTGAAGAGCTGCCCACCAAACCCAACCCTCACAGGCAGTCATTACTGGAGAGACCCTCGACGACCCCCCCAGTGAACCTCCACTGATGGGTTGAGGAAACCAGAGGCTCAGAGACAGGAAAGGCCCGGCCCTCAGTGACTTACAACTCAAAGACTCTAGTGCTTATCAGTGACCTTGTCCCCTGGCAGGCTCACAGAGGGACAGTGAGGGACATTCAGAGGATGGCCCAAGCCCAGACAGAGCTGTAAGGCCCTTGCTGGGCCTGTCACCTGGCTTCCTGGCTGCTGCCACCTTGTGCTTTCCCTGCAGCTGAGCCTGGGAAGTGGGCCTGAAAACGGGCGGGGAGGATAGGCAAGGGTGGAGGCCTGGATGGCTAGGACAGTGTCAGGCAGGGCTAGGGCACTGGCCCAGCTCCCCACCCATCCCGATGTGGGAGTGGGGGATAGTGTGTACGTGGGCACATGTGAACCCTGCCCTATCCCAGCAACCGCACGGGGCTCTGTCCTCCTGCTTCTCCCCACTCTCCCGGCCTCCTGCCCCTGCTGGACGAAAGCAGGGGACCTGGTCCAGAGTTCATGGAGGAGCCTGAGGATCAGGCAGGAGAGGATGGAGCCACTCAGCCCTCCTGACCCAGAAGCAGGTGGAGCTACTTGGGGTCTTGTAACCCAAAGCAGAAACAGAACTGTCCCCAGGATAGGGCCACCTGGGCGAGGGTTCCTAACTTAAAAGTACATTGTGGTGGGCTTCCGGGGGTCTGAGAGTCCTCTGTAGAAACTAAGTGATGTTATGTATACATGGCAGTAGTATTTTGGTCTATCATCAAAAGCGAGAGACTCGGTGCCCCTGAAGCCCTGGCAGTGATCAGGTATCCAGAGTGGCAGGTGAGGGAGGTGGCACTGGTTCTGCCAGCTGACCCAGGCCTGCAGAGAAGACAAAAGCATCTAAGGAGTGGGGGGAGGGCAAGTTGGGGCGGCCTGAATGCACTTGGACCCTGGAGCCTGGCTGCAGGCCCAAGAAAACGTCACTTCCTCTTTCTGTGCTTCAGTTTCCCCATCTGTAAAATGGGGATTTCACGACAGCTCCTTCCTCACAGGATGGTCCTCGGAATGGTGCCTGGCACCATGTGCCAGCTGTGTCACGTGGCTCTGCCACTGGGCGGGATCAGGCAAGCGGTTCCACCTGCCTTTTTCGTTCTGCCAGCACTGCAGGCATGCGGAGGCTGTCCCTTCTCTGGGTTCAGTTCCTGCCTCTGTAAAGTGAGGTTCCTGAGGACCTAATAGAGGTTCAGTTGTCTGTTCACCGTATTTCATTCCCCTGCCCTCAGTGTGGGGGATGGGAGTGAACTTGTTGGGGGAGAAGCCCCCATCTCCTGGATTGACCCTGGGACTTGCCCAGAAGGACTGTTCTGGGGCGGGGGGAGGAGCCAGGACAGCCAGCCAAGAGGCAATAGCCGTTTCTACCTGGTAGAGCCCTTTCTTTGTCAGTGAGACTGGGGTTTGAACTCAGGGCTTGCTTTGTAATTGCAAAGCAGGCGCCCTACCGATTGAGCCACACCTCCAGTTCATTTTGCTGTAGTTATTTTTGGAGGTCTCACAAACTGTTTTCTGGGGATGGCCTCAAAATTCAATTCGATGCTCCCAATCTGAGCCTCCCAAGTAGCTAGGATTGCAGGTGCGAGCCCCTGGTGCCCAGCAACACTTTCACATCCAGCAAGCAGTACAGGTAGAGGTGTGCCGGCCGCTGCGATCCGAGTATGTGTGTTGAGGGTTGATGAGAGGAAAGAGTGAAATTTGCCTCCAGAAATTAGAGTATGTCAAAATGACTTCATCTGCATTTATGGGTACAGTGACCCATAAATGTTTCTCTGGAAACAAAGGTAGGGGCTGACTTTGTCGTGGTGTGGTGGTCTGGTTTCTGTATCTGTCTGTAGCATCCACAAGTTGCTTTTGTAAGTAGGAAATAAACGAGTTGAAGTGTATTCCCAGAGAACAGTGCGCTCAGCCCTCCCCACAGAGGCCTTGGGATGCAGTGAGGTGAATGTCAGACTCTGGGTTTCAGCTCAAATCTTGGGGTCTGGTTGGTAGAGTTGGATAAAAAAGATGGCAATGGAGAGAGGGAGGGTGTATCAGGTAGTGACAGGAAGGATATATGGGTACCTGGGAGCAAGGCATACATGCTACCAAGCCTCACAAGCCCCCAAAACTCAGAGCATGGCAAAGTGCCCACCAGTCTAGGTGGTCAAACCCTCGTGGAGGCGTGTCTTGACCAAGCCCTATGGCTGACAGGCAGGAGCAAAGTCACATTTGCAAGGCTGGCTGATTAGACTCTAGGTCTGGGATGTCCTATACAGCAGCTGCTGGCCACAAGTGGCCACTGAGCACTTGAGATGTTGCTTGTCAGAAGTGGGATGTTCTGTGCACTTGACAGGTTTTTTTTTCCTGTGCTGAGGAACAAACCCCGGGCTGAGTGCGTGCTAGGCCGGTGCTCTGCCCTGGAGCTTCCCAGGGAAGAAACCCGCCCCTGTGTGACTCAGCTAAGCCCCTCTAATGCAATAAGATCCCACGGACACAGCCCTGTGTGCTAACGGCCACGTAGATGACATTGGGGGAGTGATTTGAGAGACTGTTCCAGTGTTCCTGGGGCTCTCTGCCCCCAGAAACCATCTCTATCCTCCCACCCACCCTTTTCCTGTTTCTTTTTATTTTACATATGAAGCTTGCATTCCACTTCTGTTGCACCACTCTCTTGTAGAATGTCTCAGAAAACCCAGGCCCTCTTCGAATAGTAACAGAACCAGTTACAGAGTAGTCCTTTCGAATTTCTCCGTCAGCAAAGAACAAAAACCCATCTCTAGAAGAGTTTTTAGTTCCCAGTCATTTCAGACGCGCAAAGAAATCTGTCTCAAATGCCCTTCTTTCCAAGGTCACTGCTATGTGTCCTACAAGGCAGCTTAGGAATCACCTCTGTCAAGAAGCCCTCCCTGACGACCACTTACAGCTGGACCTACTGCACCTGCCTGGCCCGTGTTCTACAGGTTAGTTGCTCATCCATTCCCTGCAGTGGACATGGTGCACCCTGAGAGAAGCAAGGCTGGCTCAGTCATCCCTGCACCCCAACACCTGGTGCAGTGCCTGACATGAAGCAGAAAGTCATCAGTGAACATAGAAAATGAACCCCGCTGCCAGGCACCAGTGGCTCACGCCTCTAATCCTTGCTACTCAGGAGGTAGAGATCAGGAGGATTGCAGTTCAAAGCCAGCCCAGGCAAATAGTTCAAAAGACCCTATCTTGAAAAAACCCATCACAAAAAAGGGGCTGGTGGAGTGGCTCAAGGTACTCCAGTACTGCAAAAAAGAAAACAAACCCTGTTGTACTTGGGGGGTACCCACTCTTGGGGCCTCTGCACATAAGTTCTCTCTAATCTCTCCTTTGGTTTCAGTACCAAAGGAGCTGACATCCCTAATCCCAGCCTTCCTGCCATGAGCCTCGGCCCTGCCTCCTCCCAGCAGCCACCCTGAGTTGGCATTAGGAAGGAAAGGAATGGACCCAGGGTGGGGCCAATGACCACTCAGCCAGGGTAGGTGTGGCTGCTTTCTCTGGGGCAGGTGCAGGGCCTGCCCAGAGCTGTACTCACCAGTGGAAGGAAGGTCAGCAGTGGCCGGACTCTCGGCCGAGCTTTCAGTGTGGCTGTTCCCGACTCACTCACCGTGTTGAAGCGATTATCTCCGTAATAGATCCCATCTAAAGGACATGAATTTGGAGGACACAGTGAGATGACGGTCAAAGGAGCTGCCTAGGCCAACCAAGTTTACTCCACCCTAAAGTTCCCAGAGAGGCAACCAGCCCTGAGGTTGCCCCTGTTTCACTCAGCTAACGCCCTATAAAATAGTAAGACTCCATGGAAGGGCTGTGTGCTAACAGGGCTCTGACACAGCACTGGGGGAGGGATGCAGAGGAATTATTTCCTTCCAGTGTTCTTAGGGCTCTCAGCCCCCCAGCAGCCATATCTCTACACGCACACACACACACACACACACACACACACACACACACACACACGTCCTGAGCCTTCCTCCCACTGCAAATCATCCCTCCTGTTGGGGCCCTGAGAGTTTGGCTATGTCCCCAGCCAAAGCTTATCTCTGAGAGTAGGAAGAAAACAAGCTGGCTTTTCTCTCAAGTGTTTGAATTTCAAATCTGAAACAAGCAGAGCAGAGGAGGCCACCTGCTGTCCCCCATGTCCTGGGGCCCTCTAGCTCAAGAATTCCCTAGCCCCAAACCACTTCTGGTATGTGCAGAAGGGCAGAGCAGAAAGAGGTTGGACAGTAGCAGTGACCTAGCAAAAATCCCAGCTCTGCCATTGGCTGACCATGTTGCTTCACCTCTATGGGCCTCAATTTTGCCATCTGTACAATGGGAGTGACAATAGTGCCAATCTTACAGGATGGTTGTAAGGAAAAAGTGTGGCCAGCATACAGAAGTCCTCAACATATGTGGTCCCCTCCCCTGCAGGAAAACCATAGGAAGGACCTTCCTTGTCCTCCTGTCTCTGAGCCTGTGCTCTGGGCTGTGTCTAACCAGTGGGAGGTGTGAGGAGCCATGCTCACTTTCTTAACCAGTCTCCCTCCTGACCCTTGATACTCCGTGATAAGAATTTCACATCTCCTCCCAGGTTCACTCTGTCACCTCCTAGAGGCAGAGATCCCTGTGGGCCTCCTGCTCTGTGTGTCAGGAGCAAAGAGAACTTTCATCCACTTAACAGGTATGAGAGACTTTCTCCTTCTCTATAGCCACACAGGAAAGAGAAGAAAGGTCAAAATTCCAAGTGATCAGAATCCTGCTACCTGGAACATTGAACTAACTGGACTTGCCTTTCCTCTTGCACATGACTTGAGGAGGAAATTGCAAGAAAGCCAAATAATTTATTCAGAAGACTTGGGCTGGTCCAGAAGGTCCTGCAACCAGCATGAATCCATCCCAAATTCCACCACTATAGCCACAGCCCTCCAGGAGGTTTTGGATGTGACAGAGAGGCTCCTGGGAGCCCTTCCTGTAGTGCCCTACCAAGGCAGAAAGTTGGCCAGGGAGGTCAAGACTTTCCACCTCTCCAAAGGAACCCAAACAGCAGCAGATCTCTGTGTGAACCACAGGTTCCCAGAAACCCCAATGCTGCTACTTGCTAACGTGATTTCCCAGGCTCCATGCCCGAGGCTGCAGACCGTGATTGGACAGGACACAGGGGAGGGGTGCTGTAAAAGTGCAGATTTGGCCCAACCAGAAACCAGGGGGTGGAGATAACTGCACATACCCAACAGCTGCCACAAAAGCCACCTGGTCCCCAGGCTTCAAGAGTCTTCCAGGAAGGGCTGGAGATGTGGCTCAAGTGGTAGAGCGCCTTCCTAGCAAGCTCAAGGACCTGAGTTCAAATTCCAGTAGTGCAAAAAAAAAAAAAGGTCTGCCAGGATGCCAGGAGCCCTGGGACATTTGTGAGACAGGGTATGTGGTGTGGGGGTCTGGCACCTAGGCGGACACTCAGTGATCTCATCTCATCCTGTGCTGCTGATGGGGTCTGGGGACTGCCTTGCTGCAGTAGAGGCCGGTATTACTGGCCTAGGAGCTTCAGAAGCATCATATCTGTGAAACTTGGCAAGGTGAATAGCAGAGAGGTTCTGAGCATCTTACACATTATTAATTCATTCACTCCTCAAAACGGCCCCATGCAAACCATTTTACATATACGAAAACTGGGCTGGTGGAGTGGCTCAAGTGGTAGAGTGCCTGCCTAGCAAGAGCAAGGCCCTGAGTTCAAATCCCAGTACCAAAAAAAGAAAATAGAAAGAAATGAGAGAACTGAGGTCCAATAACTTGCCCAAAGCCTCGCAAGAAGTGCTGAAGCCAGGGCCACCCTAAGGACCTGACCGCTGAACTATGCCTTCCTCCGAAGGGGGGACTCAGAATCTCCACATTTACAGGATGGGGTGGGAAGAAGGGGATGAAGAGCTGGTGCTGTCTGGGGGTAAGGAAGGTTTGGTCATGGCGAAGGAGCAGTTCTAGGGAGTGGCAGGAGATGAAACAGCTTGACCAAAGCCACACATGGGTCAGGACAGTTGTGACACTGTACCACCTCACAGACTCCGTGACTCTCAGGCTCCATGGCTTTGGTTTGGTTGCTGTGAGCAGGGGATTCCTTTCGAAGAACACAATTGTTCCCTGCAAAGCACACAGAAGGGGCGGGGCACGGGGAGGCAGGACTAAGGTCCAGGTGGCTCCCTTCCCCTGGGGCACTTCTGGAAAAACCCAATTCGCTTTCCCGGTCCTCAGAGGTGTGGCTGGGAGTCAGAAAAGGCAATGTAAGCAAGAATCCTGGTGACACATGCTCATTTGGACATCACTTGTATTAAAATTGGAACAATATGGAGAAGATTAGTGTGGCCCCTGTGCAAGGATGACACGCACATTCATGAAGTGTTCCATATTAAAAAAAGAAGAAGTCCTGGTAATGAGATGTGATGGAAGACTTGGTGGCCACTGCTGGCTTTGACAGTGGGAGGAGGTGGCTGCCCAAGGAATGGCGGTTGCTTTCCAGAAGCTGGAAAAGGTGAGAAAAACAGACCCTTCCCTAGAGCCTCCAGAAAAGAAAGTCTTGCCAGCACCTTCATTGTAGCTCTGTGTTAAGACTTCTGACCTACATAATTGTATAATAACAAATAAAATAATAAATCATGCAATTGAAAAGAAAAGGAGGTGTGGCTAAACTGACAAGCCTGTCCTGGACCCTCCTTCCTGGCTCAGTTCCTGCCAGGTCAAGGCACACCATCAGGCAAGGCATATGTGACCACCCCACCCTCACCCCCATAAGCCAGGTCCTCCAAGGGCTCAAGTTCCAGGCCAGGGCTTTTCCAGACTCAAGGTTAAGGACTAAAACTAAGCAAAAAGTCAGCAGAGTCCAACCTTGGGGCATTTCCTCTGGAACTACCTGAACCCCACTGGATCGCGGAGCAGGGGTGCTGGGATAGGTCTTCCTGAGAAGCAGCCCCCTCAGGTGAGTGATAAAGAGGGCCGGGAGAATCCTGGGCCTTGGTGCCTCAAGGGAGAAAGGGAAAGGAGGTGACAGGGTGGCTGGACAGGAGGCTGGCAGTGCCCTTGAGGATGTTCTGAGACTACTCGATCAGAAAGAGGACTCTACCCCGATGACCAGTCCACTCTGATGCTTGGGAGCTCCTCTGTGCCTGCCATCCTACTATAGCCCTTACCCACTGGAAGAGGCGTTGTGACCTCAGACACTCTGTTTATTCTATGCTCACCACATGCATGGGGGCAGAGCATTCAGGAGGGACTCTAGGCTGGAAAAGGGAAGGAACTGCTCTGGAATCCAGAAGCTTCTGGAGAAAGGCAGGCATTAGGACAGCTCTGGGGCAGCTGCAGTAGCCTGGAAACCTTGTGAGTAAGGCCTGAGCCCTGATGGACCACAGCTCTGTCAGGATAGAAACCAAGGCCTCCATGTCTGACAAAGCCTGATAAAATGGAGGTGAATCCAGGTCGGCTTCCATTTACCTCCCCCCTCCATTCCCGTTAAGACAGGATTGTGTTCAGGATACCAAGAGATTTTCTTTCTAGAAATTTTTCCCTCATCTGTTGACAGGAGACAAAGCAGAAGTTTTATTTTCATTTGCCTTCCTTGAAGATTTGACTTTACATATCCCATCTAATATCCAAAAACCTGCTTCAAAAAGAAGGGCCTCACCTCAGATTTCAGCCTGAGCTCTGGAAACTCCTCCACCCTTCGGGCTGGGAGAACCCACCCCTGCTATGGCTTGAGGAATGGGTGGGTGGTGACTGAGGATGCCTGGGGCTGTGAGGAGTCAAGGCTGAGGCTTAGAGCACAGCTGAACTTGGGTTCCAGTCCCCGGTCCACCACTTAGCTGTGGGGCCGTGGAGGTGTTTCTAGGTCTCTCTGAGCCTGTTTCCTCATCTCTGTAAATGTGAACAAAGGTGTCTAAGTGGATGGATCAGTGTGAGGCTGAAAGAGATAGTGTGAAGATGTGTGCTCAGGGCCTAGCAGATAATTAGGGCTGGTTGTTGTCATGATCGTCATCAATCTCTCTCTGCCTCACCTTCTTCCCTCCACCAAGAGTTGGGCTTTAAGCTTGAATCAGGTCATGTCACTTGCAAATTATGGTGAACACCTGTGCCCTGACAACCATCAGGAGGCAGGTGGCCCCTCACTCTCTTGCCAGGGTTCATTCTGAGTCCTGATGCTTTGCTGGTTCCAATTGCACTCATTGCAAATGGGTGGAGATGGGGGGACTGAGGCCCAGAGTGGAGGGGCTAGGCCAAGGTCACAAAACCATGGTGGTGCCAGGGTTCACAGGGCCCCTGGCTTATAGTACAAGCTTCCAGCATGAGCAACGTAGGGCCTTACACACAGCCTCGGGTTCATTGCATCTCCCAAACAGGCAGGCCTGGTGGGGTGTGTGTGTGTGTGTTGGGGGAGGGGGTACATGTGGGATGCTCTGGGAAAGGTGAAGGCCAGACACAAGCTGCCTCCTTTTCTGCTCTTTCTCCCAGCAGGAGTAGCCTCAGGGTCTTCTCTGTTTCTTTTCTCACAGAGCTTAGGGTTGAAAGCCTAGCAAAATGCTCTAACTCCCCTAGCCCCAGCACTGTCATCAGAGCTGCATGGACCCCGAGATCAGATTCTGGGACAGCTAGTTACTAGCTCTTTTCCCAAGCGCTAGGTGGGT